TCGTTATCAATACAATAGGTTTCATCTGTGTTTTCTACAAGCTGGTGGACCGAGAGGGTGGCATTGTAAGGCTCGACCACAGTGTCCGACACTTTGGGTGAGGGCACCACACTGAACGTGTTCATGATGCGGTCTGGGTACTCTTCCCGGATCTTGCTGATGAGGAGGGTGCCCATCCCTGACCCGGTCCCCCCACCCAGGGAGTGGGTCAGCTGGAAACCCTGCAGGCAGTCGCAGCTCTCTGCCTCCTTTCTCACAACGTCCAGCACCGAGTCCACCAGCTCCGCACCTTCTGTGTAGTGCCCCTTGGCCCAGTTGTTCCCAGCACCACTCTGACCTGTGAGACACCACAACTGGTCACACTCCCGCCAGACAGACCCCACAGGGGCGGCAAATGAACCCTGACAGCGATGCACAGAAGGCAGCTTAACAAACCCCTGCCAATACCCAAGGACGAAAACAACCTGGATCTCCGTGGAGACTACAAGGAGATTACATCTACCTCTCCTTGCCTGCAGGCAGACAGCTGGGCCTCCTCCCTAAGCCGCTTTAGGCAAGCGCTTTCAGTGACTCAGAGGGCAGAAAATGTCCCGCGGGCTCCCAGCTACGAGGTTCAAAAACAATGACCTTGGGTAGGGGCAGCCGCTTAACCTTTGGGCCACCCAGTCCCCACCCGCACTCACCGAAGACGAAGTTGTCAGGCCTGAATATCTGCCCGAAGGGCCCCGAGCGCACGGAGTCCATGGTGCCGGGCTCCAGGTCCACCAGCACGGCGCGGGGTACGTACTTGCCACCTGGAGAGAGCGGGCGTCAGCCGCGGGCCACGCCGGGGCCGCACCGTGGGCGGGGGCGGGGGCGGGGGCTCGGGCTCCTACCCGTGGCCTCGTTGTAGTACACGTTAATGCGCTCCAGCTGCAGGTCGCTGTCTCCGTGGTACGTGCCAGTAGGGTCGATGCCATGCTCGTCGCTGATCACCTCCCAGAACTGCCGGGACGCGGGCGGGCTGAGTCACGGCGGCCGGTGCGCCCAGGGCGGCCCCGCCCCGAGGGCGAGGCGGGCGCTCCCCTCCCCCACCTGCGCTCCCCAACGCCAGGAGCCGGGAGCCTCACCGGCCGCCCACGCGCCGTCCTGGCCCCAGCCGAACTCCCGGGCCGCAGTGCAGGGCGCCGCCCGGCAGGCCACTGCCGCCATCTTCCCAGTTGCCCGCCCGCTCTGCAGTCCGGCAGGCCGGCCGGCCGGCCCCGCCTGGCCCAGTCCGGTCCGGCCCGGCCCGGCCCGGCCCGGTTTGCGTGTCCCCACCATTCACCTTGGCGCCGATCTGGTTGCCGCACTGCCCAGCCTGCAGATGGACAATCTCCCTCATGGCGACGACTGCGGCGACAGCAGAGGCGTTAAAAGTATCACAGGTGCTGAGGAGGAAGCGCGCAGAATGCTACAACCGACGCGCCGCTAGTGCTTATATATCAGCTGCGCCCGCCTCCGCTGGCCTCGGATTGGGTTTCCAGAACGAGGCCGGCAAATACTCTCATTCTATTGATTTAACTTCCCGTCGATCGAGGGGTCTAAGACCCGCCTTTCTAACGACAGCTGCTTGTTATTGGTCAGCCACGGCTGTGGCGCTTCCTATCACATTCCCGCCCCCCGCGCTGTAGTGCTTTGCTCATTGGGCTTTTCAAATGATTGATTTGCTCTGCCATTGGCTGCCTCCGGAGAGTACGCCGACAGGCTGGTGCTATTGGCTGTGCGGGTTTGGCGTCCTGGTAACCGCCGCAGTGCAGCGGGAGGCGCGCACGAGCATCGAGCGCGGGACTAAGGTTTCCGGCCCCGGCCAAGTCACCTGTCCTCGTGAACTGGGTTCCGCTTTTTCGCAAGAGCAGCTGCGGCGGAGCTACGCGCCCGGGCCCGGCGAGCTCGTGCACGCCGCGGACTCTGGGGGGAGTCCCAGGCGAGGCGGGTGCGGGTCACGAAGGACGGAAACGGCTCAGGTGCGGCGCTGGCGCTGCGCGCCCGCCCGCACACAGTGTTGTGGAGACGGTGCTGGCCGCGCGCCGGTTGCCTTGGAGCTGCGGCTCGGGACCTGGGGCTGCGTGGAGACGGAGCGCGGGCATGCCTGGCCACGACGCGCTTTGTCCTCGAGAGGGAAAACAAGTGTGTGAAGGAAGTGCAGTTGGATTGCATGCCGTTGGTCTTTTAATGGGCTTTGAAAACTGCGTTTGCATTCTACTTCTAAATGTCTTTGAAAGGAATGTCACACGGTGGGGTCTACCCGTGGTTAGCCGTCGAGGCTGGCGTTTTCAGTGGACTTGCCCCTCTGCCTCGCAACCGGAGTGTTGGGGGCACCACTTGCTTACATACGTATTTTCTTTGGGAAGGAGCACCCCTCTTACTACATAACGCACAGTGCCGCAGGGTTACGGTATCCAGTGACCGGAACCATCCCTGAAAGCTTGCCAGGACAAGCAGCACCAAGTGTGGGAAAAGGTTAGCAGTCCGTGCCCACGCCCACTCCAGCGTGGTCTAGCTTCAGCTGGTGGGCCGGAGGCTCTGGCCAGGATAGGCCCTCCCTGATCAAGAGGGTGAGTCAGCAGGTACGGGAGCCGGGCCGTCCTGAAGCCCTGGCGGCTCCCCGCTCCCAGACTTGCCCAGGAAGTGGGACCTATTCCTCAACGAAGGGCTAGAGTCTGTCGGGTTAATAACCCGTAGTTACTGCGGGCTGATCAGGCCCACAATCTCCCAAACTAGTGGACGAAGAAGGCTTAAATAAATGAGGCAAATGAAGTGATTTCATGGCTCCAGGAGGGTTCCTGGAGTGTTTAAGATTCACTGGGTTTCAAACAAAGGAGGGAAATCCTGAAGAAAATGCAGAAATTTGCGCAGGACTTGTTAATTTAGGATAACTGTGTTATCTCCAGGAAGGCCTTCCCGGGAGTAGTGAGATGCCTGCAGCTACAGTCTCCTTTTAGATAATTGGGGTTGGAGCCAAATGTCGTCAGCTATGGCCTTGTCCTTTGAGGTGTCCCAACTTCACAGGCTAATATAGGCCTCAGCGGGGACCAGTGACTCATAGAGGTTCACTTACTATGAGTCCACTGCCCATCAAAGGACAAGGACCTAAGCTCTAGACAACTCCCAAGTAAACATGAAAAGCCAATTGGTTAAAATTAAATACTGCTCAGCTGGGTGTAGTGGTGTAATCCCAGCACTGAGGAGGCTGAGGCAGGAGGATTTCTGTGAGTTTGAGACCACCCTGGGCTACAAAGTGAGCTCAAGGCCAGCCTGAGCTGCATAGTGAAACCCTGTCTCAAAAAGACCAGACAAAAAAAAAATTAAATCCTGCTCAGAGCTGCTTCATAGTAGTCTCCCTCAGGAGTCTGTATTGGTATGTGGGGTGCACAGGGTCCTCTTGGTGCCCAGAACAGAATGTCCTAGAGTTGGCTCTGGCCCTGCCCGGTAGTTTATCTGCCCAAGCAATAGACAGGGAGGCCCTTACAGCTCCCTCAGCAGTCACGGAGAAGCCCAGTGTTTTCCCTGCTGTGCAAAAGCCTTGCTACAGCTGCTCTTGGGGCTCCAGTATTTTTAAATCCACCCCTCAGGGCACAATCGAACTGGAAAAGGGCCCTGCCTCCCTGCCAGTGCCCCAGGGCTGGGAGGTCAGGGTGGCAAGCCCATTTCACAGTTTACAAAACACAGTTTGCATCCCAGGCCCAGGTGCTCACCAGAGCTCTTCCCGGCGCCAGACTGTCTGCCTGGCCCCTCATAGTCCCCTCCTGAGGAAGACACTGGCTGAGGCCAGGATAGTGGCTGCGCAGAGCTGGAGGAAGAGGCCCTCGGGTCCACCCTGAAGGGGAGAGGAGGGCAGGAGGGGAAGGAGGGCCAGGCTGGATGCACACCAGAGGGAGTAGGAGGGCAGGGAGCAGCAGGAGGGGCCGTGGGAGTGCTGGGCACCTGCCCTGGCTCTCCAGCCTGCAGCTGTTGAGGAGTCCACAAGGCAGGCTCTGTTTACTGGTGGCCATGGTCCCAGTGGGAGGGTGTGTTACCGCCAGGCAGGGGCAGCAGGCAGACAGACGGTGCGGCCTTAAAGGACCCCGTTTCAGGCCTTTGTGGAAGGCCTCTGTTGCCCCGGAAGGAGAGGTGCCCAGTGGGGCCTGCCCGCTCCAGACGGCCTCTCTGCCTCCTTAGCAGGTCTCCCCAGGGAGCAGCCAGGCTCTGTCCCTAAAGGGCATGGGAGTTGGTGCTGGCTCTGCAGGAACCACTTGCAGGGAAGGACCAAGGCAGGATGCAAGAGCAGCTTCCCAGACGGCTCCCAGAGCAGGCTCACCGCCCTTAGTGGGCAGAGGGGAAACCCAGGCCTAGGAAGCCTGGGAGGGTGGGGTGGTGGCAGGGGACCTGAGGGACAACTAGGTCTTTCCCCAGCTGAGTGCCTGAGTTCTGGAGAGAGGTGAGCTTTTCCTGGTCATGTGGTAGTAGGGTCGGGGATGGCAGGAGGCTCTGTGCGTCTCTGGTGTCCAGTGATCCATGCAGAAGGTAAACCTTCCAGCCTGGGAATCCACCCGACCTGGGCACAGGTCTGGACACTCTGTGGGGCACCTGGGGGCCTAGTGGGCAGGACTCGCTCCCAGGCAGGTTCCCAGAGCTGGCCCTATGGGACGAGGGGTGCCCCCCGGCACCAGGGAGATACAGCCCTGCCTGCTGCAGAGGCAGGACAGGGTGGGGCGCCTCAGAAACTGTGCACCCTGCCCCACCTCTGTGTGCCCTGCCAGGCCATGCCCCTCCGAGCACTCCCCAGGTGGGCGGAGGTCTTAGGCACTCAGCTGGTCGGGCAAAGGGCGCCCCTGTCCACCCCACAGGCCAGCTCCTGTGTGGGAGGCCTCACCCTGCATGTTGTAGGCTGCTCCTAGGGCTGCAGGCAAGATCATCTGCCCCCGACCCTGAGCATTGCCCTGTGCCTCCAGCTCCAGTGGGACCCTTCCGTGGAATCCCTGTCTGAGGAGAGACCACCATTCCTGGGAAACAACCTCGTTTATTGGCAAAGGGGTGCAGGCCTCAGAAGTCCTCGTGCCCGCAAGAACACGTGGCAGGCCAGCTTTCCAACGGCACCACTCCCAGACTGAGGGGTTGGAATGTGGTTGGGTGCCCACCCTCAAAACTGCTGGGAGGCCAGGACCTCAGGGGCCTCATAGCAGGGAGCCCCTTTAGTGGCTGTCTGGGGGCGGCTGCAGGCCCTGCCTGGGCAGCAGTGGGTCACCAGGTGGTCCCAGGGTTCCAGAGAGCGGAGGCAGAGGGGCAGCCAGGCCCAGGAGCGCAGTCTGCGCGGCAGCCAGGATGGCCGGCGCCGCTGCAGGACGTTCACCAGGATGAGGAGGAGCACCAGCCCCACGAGGGGCATCCCAACTGCTGCCAGCACTGCACCCCCTGCCAGGGAGAGCCCGAAGGCCGCCAGGGGCAGCAGCAGGAAGGTGAGCAGCAGGTAGACAACAGCCACCCAGCGGTAGCGGGCAGTCAAATCCCCAAAGCGCTTGGCCAGCGGGATGGGCACCCTCAGGACAGGCACCGAGTACCACAGCAGTATGCCAGCGAGGTTGAAGAAGAAGTGGATGAGGGCGACCTGGAGGCAGGGAGTGCGGGGAGCGGTCAGGAGCCTGGGTCAGGTGATGGGGGTCACCTAGGCTCTCTGCCCCTGGCCATGCAAAAAGGGCCCATGTCTGAAGCTTGTCCTGCTCATCCTGCATGCAGCTAAGATGGACCCCTGGGAGGACAGTTTCCAGCCAGGTGTGGCCAGATGCCCACCACTCACCCTCAAGCACACATCTAAGCATAGGGAGCCTGGGCCAACCCTGTTGGTAACTGCATCACTGCTATGGGGAGGAGGCCCAGGGCTACATGCCCCTCCAGGAGAGGGCAAGGCTGGGGGCTTCAGGAGGGGCTAGGGCAGGGCCCTGCACTGGGAGGGGCAGGGGCAAAGGCTCAGTGGGAGCCAAGCAGGATCTGGCTTATCTCCTGGGAGCAGCAGCCCAGAAGTTTCAGGAGCTGAGCTTGTGTGGGCACCTGGGCAGAAGGAAGCTCCAACCAGCACAGGGTGCTTTAGAGAGAATCAGCAGCACCGTGGACACGGGAGTGGGGCAGAGTGTGGGCACTTGGGGGTGGGGGCATCTTGCAAGCAGAATCACAACTGGGCATGGCCTGAGTGCCCATCATAGGTGGGGCCTCTGGACGGGGGCTGGGAAGACAGGCAGCGCTCAGGCAGCCACTGCTGGGTTAAGCAGCCGGTTCATGGGGCAGTAGGATGGAGGAGAGGCACCTTGCAGATGTGGAATACAGCCCTGGGGGCTCCCTGCGGCTGGGCCAGGCCTCCAGGGCACACAATGAGGGGCACAGACCAGAGGGTGGAGGAGCAGGGATCCTGTGGGGGAAGCTGTGGGAGACAAAGCGGCAGCGGGCACGGGCCTTGCTGAGAAGCAGCCTGGAAAGATGGAGTCTGGGGGAGACAGGGCCTGGGTCCAGAAGCAGGGGCTGAAGGTTTGCGGCTGGAGCTGGAGGAGAGGCCACATGGGAGCGGGGAGGGGAGCCAGGCGGTACCTGGACGGCGAAGAGCAGCATGTCCGCAGGGCTGGCCAGCGCAGCCAGCAGGGCCGTGGTGGTGGTGCCGATGTTAGAGCCCAGGAGCAGGGGGTACGCCCGGTCCAGGCTGATCACCCCAACCCCTAGGCCGCAAGGGGTCAGCACAGGGCCCAGGCAGAGCCCCTGCCCCACCACAGGCCCACTGCCTGCCCGGGCTCACCCATGAGTGGCACGATGGCTGCCGTGAAGACACTGCTGCTCTGGAGCAGGAAGGTCATGCCAGCGCCCACGAGGATGGCCAGGCAGCCACTGAGCCAGCCGAAGGGGAAAGGGAAGTCTGGGGACGAGTGCTGGGTCACGTTGTGCGCCCCCGCCCCCCCGCCCCAGCTCATGGTCCCTTCACACCTGCATTGATGACGCCCCTCACAGCCCGGGCGACACGGCCACGCAGCACAGAGTTGAGCAACTTGACGACAAGCACCAGGCAGGCGCTCAGCAGCAGGAGGGAGCCGGCCAGCAGGATGCAGCCCACGGCCGGGTCGGTGAGGGCCGAGCCCACAAACAGGTGGCGGCCTGGTGGAAGGCAAGGCAGCGCAGGGTGGGCAGTGGGGTGAGCATGGGCAGCCGGGCACAGGGGCGGGAAGGGGGTGGGCAGGTGGGCAGGGCTCACAGGGCAGCCTGTCCTCCGTGGCTGAGCCGCTCTTCCCAGTGCAGGGGCCGAAGGCTCCACTTGCATTGCTGTGGCCCTGGCTCTGGTGGGGGCAGGGCGGGTTCAGCATGGCTGGGTAGGCAGGCAGAGTGGTGGGGCAGTCAGCAGGTCAGGGGTAGCGTGGGGCTGGGGTCAGAGGCACCTCACCGTCTCCCTGCTGCAGCCGCACCATTGCTTAATGAGGCTGCTGGTGGTGGCATTGCCAGTGGCACTGCTGGCTATCAGGTCGCTGTCCAGCTGGGGGTGGAGGGGCCGGGACTCAGCAGGGGCCCCGATGCCCACAGACACCAGGCTGCCTGTGCCTGCTCCACCCCCGTTTCCCTGGCCAGGGCCTCCGCCTCCCTTTCTAGACTTCACCTGCACGATGAGGTGTGTGAGGGGCTTTGTCAGTGCCTTGAGGATGTCAGGTGCCCGAGCCCCAGGCTGCAGGCGGGCCACGCCCAGGAGCAGGGCACTCAGCCTCTGCAGCAGGGCCACAGCACTCTCCAGCGGCAGCAAGACCAGCACCGTGAGCCAGTTGAAGATGCCATGCACAGCTGAGCCACTGAAGGCCCTGTGGCCACACAGGGCAGGCTGTCTGGTGGCCTCGGCCGTGGCCACTGCCACCTTCCGTCCTGCCCCCCAGCCACACTCACCTGCGAAACTCGTCCCGGTCCCCTGACTGTGCCATGGAGACCAGGGTGCTGGTGATGGACGTGCCCACGTTGACACCCATGATGATGGGGACAGACGCCCGGACAGTCAGCACTGTAGAGACCCCACTTCAGCTGCTGCCTGCCCAGCCCGCCTGCCCACCACCGCCTGCGGAGGGGAGGGGACTCACGCTTCGAGGCCACCATGCTGACTACAATGGAGGAGGATGTGCTGGAGCTCTGCACAAGCACCGTGACCAGCACGCCAATGACCAGTCCCGCCACAGGGTTGGATAGTACCACACTGCCCTTGAAGACGTCTCCGGCCATTCTGCCTACACCCGGGACAGAGGGGCACTGAGGCTGCAGAGAGCTGGCCGCCCATCCCTGCCCTGCTGCCCTCTGCCCACTCACTGCCCAGCAGCTGGAAGCCAGAACTGAGGATGTCCAGGGAGCAGATGAAGAAGTAAAGGCTGCCCAGGAGCCCGCAGGCCTTGAGGAAGCCAAAGATCACCCTGCGCATCCTGGCGGCTGTGCTGAGCCCTGTGGACACAGGCAGGGCAGTCCTCGGCCAGCCCTCCCCCTTCCACCTGCCCAGAACCCACCACCCTTTCCTCCACTGCCCCCAGCAGAGTCCAGGCACCCCCTTCTGTGCCACTGGGGGGGGGGCATTTTCTTCTCCTGAGTCCCCAGGGCAGGGCCCAGGATGCCTGTGTTCCCTGCGGGATGGCCATGTCCCCCAGCAGGGAAGAGGGGCAGACAGCAGCAGGATGGTCCTGCAACTCAGGGCAGGGCAGCAGCTGAGCAGAGGCCGCGGGCATCCCCGGGTGCCTGCTGGGTGGCTCCCCAGGAGGTTTTGGCTGCCTTGTACTGTCCCCCAACCTAACCCTGACGTTCACCCTGACCCCAGGCCTACCTTGCAGCTGGCCGGTGTCCTTCAGCTGAGGGAGGGCCCAGGGGTTCATGCTGCCCTCCTCCGGGACTGGGATAGAACAGGAGGTTTCTGCAAGGGTCAGGTCAAGTAGGGCTGTTTCTAGAACCCCTGTCCCAGGAGGGAGCAGCGTAAGAGACACAGGGTTCCCTCCCTTGTCTGGGCCGTGATGTTGGAGGTGAGGTCTGGGGGGCCTGGTACCTGCATTTCTCAGACTGCTATCCACCAGGTCGATCGTAGCCAGGCTGGGGTGGGGTACCAGGCCACCGGCAATGGAATTCGGCATGGGTTTCAGGCAGGGGAAGACCCAGGCACCAAGGTCAGATATGCTGGTGAAGGCTGGATGAGAAACGGCTGGCCTCCGCACACACCCCAACCCTGCAGAGCAGGCCGAATGTGGGACCCTGGCCTGTGCTGTCCGTCACTGCCCCTGCAGGCCCAGTGACCTGCCTTCCCTCCGTCTATGGCAGGTGGCTGTGGTGATCTCTGGCTATCAGACAACCCCAAGCCAATTTCAGGGGGCAGACTCAAGGGGGCCCTGGCTCCCCGGCTCACTCACTGGTCTGAGTTGGAAGGCCTGTGGTGCCACAGGGCACAGGTTTGGGGTGCAGGCTGGAGGTCCTCAGGAGCCAGGGAGCCCCAAGACCTCTCCTGCCAGGTGTCACTGGGGACACTCAGATGACCTGGGCAGAGACTTGTGCATCTGATACAAGCGGCGCCAGATGAGGAGCAGGGCGAGGCGCTCGGGGGTCCAGGCACCCCAGGCCACCACACAGCTGCTCTCCGCACAGCTCTGCTCCTAGGCCCTGTGTCTGGAACTTCCCTTCAACCCCCCGCCCGGTGCCTGGGCTCAGCTCGAGGCTCCATGTGCAGCCCTTTCGTTCTGCCTAACCCAGATCCTGGGGGCTCAGCAGGGGGTCCCACGCTGGCCTCCGGGTCCCTGGCCCTGGCCTGGTTCTGGGAGCTCCTACCTGCGTGGGTGGTGAGGGTACTCGTGGGGAGGAGGCAGTGGGAGCGGCCGCAGGTCAAAGATCCCCTGGGTGCCCACATGACCTGTTGTGTCCTGAGCCCCATTAATGTTTACCCAGATGCTGAGGCCCCGAGGGGAGACCCACCTGGCCCCGGAGCCCCTGGGCCTTGCCACCCAGGGGTAAGAGCTCTGAGGCCAGCCAGCAGCCCTCTTGTGCGGTGTCTCCCCAGGATACACCTCATTTCAGACCAGGGAATTGCTGGGCTGGACACTGGATGCCCACATCCACCAGGAGGTCTGTGACCGGATCTCCTGAGGCAGAAAGCTGAGGCTCTGCCCTCCCCACCATGTTCCTCGGGGCTCTGCGGATCATGGGTTCCTCCCTGCCCCTTCAGACGTGGGAGGGAAGCCTTGCACCAGGTGTGTGGGCATGACAGGTTTCCACAGGTGGGCGGTGAGTTCTGAACCAGGTGCAGGCATGGTGTCCCTGGCTGCCGCAGAGAGGTTTGTGGAGGGCCAGCTCATCTTCAGGGGCATGGGGGACTTTGCCCCAGGCAAGCAGGAGGGCTGGTGTCCACTCAGCGAATTCTCTTCCCTCCCCATCCCGCCCACCCCGCTGCAGGGGGAGCGTTCAGGGGCTCCCAGAAAATGGCTCCTTCCTGCAGAGGTGGGGTGCTGCAGCAGCCCAAAATTAGAGGATGAGTGCCTTTGCCTCTGGCACCCTTCTGAGGATCTGTGCTGAGGCTACACAGGAGCTATGCAGCCTCCAGCCGGCTCCCTCCCTCTCTGGGGTCAGAGCTGGTCCCCCACAATGCTGTCCTTGATGCCTGCCCTAGCCCCTAGCGGGGTACCCTCCCAGAACAGTGCCAGACACGTGATTGGAGCTCAGAGAATTAACCTTGTTGAGTGGGTGAAATTTACAGTTTGTGTGTAGGTCAGGGAGCAGGGAGGTGGCCCTGCCCCACTCCTGGCTCGCTTCCTGGGAGAGGGGCCCCTGCCCTGATCCCACCATTCAGGACCAGCTATGGCCTGGCCCTGCACTTCAGCCTGTGCCGGAGAGCTGGGATCGGCCGCCTTAGCGGCCCACAACCCCTGGCTTGCAGGTTACTCTGACAGAAGGGTCCTGGCTAGGCACAGTTGGGCCACTAGGGTGGTTGAGGCCACCAGCCTCCTGCAGGTGTTCATGGTGGGGTTGGCAGCACCTCGAGGGGCCGCTGGGGGCTGCACCCAGACGGCAAGCCACCGAGGGCTCTAGGTGGATGTGTGTGGCTGTGGTTCCCGGCAGTGAGCCCTGGGCATTGATCCCAGCTGCAAGGGTGGTCAAGGCTCAGACCTCAGGGCTGCCGGGGAGCCCCCAGCATAAACTGCCACAGCCGCAGCCACAGCAGCGTCGGGGCCGGGGGAAGTGAGGCTGGGCGCCCAGGGTAGGGCAGAGCGCAGGCGGCTGCTCAGTGACCGCAGCCTCGACCTTGAGGGGTGCAGGGACCCAGGGCTCTGCTCTCACTGGCTCCCGCTCTGCCTTGACAGCCAAGAAAGCGGCCAGGTCCAGGTCCAGCATGGCCACCCCTCCGCGTGGCGTGGGCGTGCTCTGGCGGCACTGTGGGCAGGGGATCCAGCGCTGCTCGTGGGCCACAGCATCCAGCCGCCGCACGCACGCCTGGCAGAAGGTGTGGCCGCAGTAGAGGCGGCGGGGCAAGTGCCCAGTGAGGTCGTAGGCCGAGTAGCAGACGATGCAGTCGTTCCTCCGAGCTGTGGGGGCCGCCCCTTCCTCCAAGGCACACGACCCCTCAGGTTGCAACATCCCGGGCAGGAAGGTGGTCAGGAACAGTGGCTCGGGCCACAGGCCACACTGCCTACCGCTGCAACACACAGCACAGCTGGGTGCAGGCCCCAGCGGGTGGGAACCGGGCCATGGGCTTGTAGGCACCTGCACACTTTGGGGGCAGCCGCGGGTGACAGGACACAGGTCTGGGCAGTGTCCTGCTGTCTGGCTATGAGCCCCTTGCCACCCACAGCCTCCTGCCCGTGCTGCCCCCTCCCACCCAGCCGGCCTAAGCTGCGGCCGTTCTTACCTGCATCCGATCCTCTGGGCAGCTATGCCCAGCCAGAAGGTGGCTGGAACAGGGGGGCAGGGCCCTGGGGCGCCCTCCCTGGGCTCGCATTACTGCCTACATGGGCCAGGCAGCAGGAGGCAGGTGGCAGCTGGGCTGCGGAGTGGGCTCCCCTTTCAGCCACACGCAGTGCAACTGGATCTCACACCGCACGCTCAGCAGGAGATAAGGTGACCCCTCCCCCAGCCCCACCCAGGCCTGGCCTCGCTGCCCCCAAAGTTTCCTTCTGTTGGGCAAGGTGGGTGGCCCATGCTGGTCATCCCAGCTACTCAGGAGGCTGACAGGAAGATCTCAGTTTCGAGCTCAGCTTAGGCAATTTAGGAGACGCTGTCTCAAAACACAGGCCTGAAGGGTGCACGGTGCTGCATACCTACAGTCCCGGCGCTGGGGAGGCTGAGGCAGAAGGATCACTGCAAGTTTAAGATCAGCCTGAGCTATACAGTGTGTTCAGGCCTGTCTTCACTACATGAGTGAGACGCGCGCCCCCCCAAAAAAATAAGTTGTAGAGCGCTTGCCTAGCATGTAGAAGGCCCTGGGTTCCATTTCCACAACTTCAGAGAAAAGTTAAAGGCACCCCTTCCTCCCTTCCATGTCTGTGCCATCCACTCATCCTGCATTGGTGGGCAGCGCCCACCCTGCAGCCCTAGCTCACATCACCTGCTCCAGGAAGGCGGCCTGACCCGCTGGCGCAGAGCCCTGCCCCTCTGCGGCAGGCCTTCTCTTCCACCTGGGCCTGTCCCTGCCAGGGTGGCTCGGAATGCACTCATCTGGGCCTGTGGTGTTCCCATCCTGGCCCCAAGGTGGCGCTCACGTACTGTGTGTGGTGTCCCAGTTCCCTCACTCACAAGGGCCCTCCCACTGAGCATCTGTGGGCTCCTGGCCAGCCAGGGAGCTATGACTGTGGGATGTGCGGCCAGGAGGCCCAGCGCTCTGGGAAGACCTGGGAGACCCATGGGATGGGGACAGGCTGGCAGGGCCTCGGGACCCCTCCACAGGCCCAAGGGGAAGCCTAGGGCAGAGTGGTCATGCACGAACACGCACAAACTGCGTGCGCGCACCCCGTCGGCCTGCAGGACTGGTCAGACAGGTTTACGTCTCAGGCTGGGCGGGGTGGCCCCAGAGCTCGGCCAGGAGTCCAGCAGGGACTTGCCCATCCCACTCCTGGGACTGCACACCACACAGCGCCCTTCCCTGCTGTGTGACCAGCCGTGATGTGTCGGGGACAGCTGGCCACAGGAGGACCTGTCTGTCCTGTGAGGCCAGCTCGGCTTCCGCCTCCACACAGTGCCGTGTCTGCCCTGCTCTGGAAATGCCAGCTCCCCGCACACTCCCTGCCCTGGCATCCCAGAGCCAAGTGCATGCCCGCCGGCCTTACCAGACACACTCAGGCATTTGGGCCCCTCCTCTAGCCCGTTCCTGGCACTGCCTTCAAGGCCTGATCCAGGCCCCCTCCTCCACAAAGCCCAGCCCAGGGAAAGGCAGCAGAAAAATGTCCGACCTAGGCTGGGAGGTGACTCAGTGGGCCAGGCAACTCCTGGGCCATCCTGCTCCACTCCCTGAAACCTGTGGCACCAGCCCCACCCGCACCATCCTGCCAACCTGCTGGAGGCCTCTTGAGGGTCCTGGCCATCATGTGCGCAGCACCCCTTGCCACGTGCCTTGGGGACTGGTCCTGTCCACCGTCCCAGCCTCGGCCCAGGGAGTGCAGGCCTGACCTTGGTGGTGGACAGGCTCCCAGCCCCCATCAGCCCCAGCCAGACCTGAGACCTGCAGGGCAGGCTGAGTGGAGACGTCACTAGACGGTGGCTTCCCATTCCCTGAAAGGCCCCACAAGGCTGGGGACAGTGTGTGTCTGTTTGTGTCCACATGCATGGACGGATGTAGGGGACCGGTCCAGGACAGCCTCCCCAAGGGCCGGCCAGAAGAGCGAGTCGCTGGCACAAAGCTCAGCCTGCTTTATTGCTGGGGCCTTGCAGCCAGTAGCCAAGGGGATCCCTGTTGCTGGCCCCACGGCCAGTGCCCATGACTGCTCCACAGGGCCCTGCTGAGCCGGCAGCCTGCCACATCCAGGGCAGGAAGTGGGCAGAGCCCGTGACAATGGCTGCCTCCAATGTCCGGCACCACCGTGGCCACAAGCAGCATGCCACACGGTGGGTGGGCTAGAGGATGACACAGCAGCAGCTGTGACAGCGGCAGAATGGCGGGCAGTGGCAGCAAGAGCAGCAGGGGCAGCAGCAGCAGTGGTGGGCAATGTCATCGCCACGCCCCATGGGCGGCCGGCCGGCATAGGTCAGTCCTGCTGGGCGCTGCCCACTGCTGTAGGGATTGTAGGGCTGCTCCCAGGACTGCTGGCTCTGGCTGAGCACAGCCCCCTTGGCCCCCTTGGCCCCCTTGGGCTCTTCAGCCTCAATGGGCTGCAGGATGCGAGCCGGCCCTGGGGTGCAGGCCACTGTTGGCAGAGGCGGAGTCTCCGAGGATGAGGATGAGGAGGGAGCTTCGTCTAACTGCTGTCCCAGGTCGGGCCGCAGGTGAGCCCGGGGGATGCTGATATGCGTATACGGGTTCTTGACGACCATCTCATGGGGGTCCATGGCCAGGCTGTGGGGCGGACAGACACAGACACTGACTCAGGCGTGGGGACAGCTGTCCGAGAGTCTGCAGCCCAAGAGAACACCTACCCGGGAGGAGCCCACTTGTGGGGGGCCTGGAGCCTGGCACCAAGAGAACTCCGTGTGTGCAAGGCCATGTGCCAGGGGTGACCCCAGGTGTGAGCCAGAGCCAGTGTCTCCAGCTGCCACCCCCAGTGTCCCGGCACTGCCTCTAGGACAGACCTGGGAATGGAGCGGGGAGCTGGGAGATGCAGCTGTGTGGCGTGAGCGTGGGGGCCTTCTGTCCCTAGGCCAGGACTCACCTGCAGTAGCAGCAGTGGCGTCTGTCCTCCCAGTCCTGCCGGTGCCTGTGTGTGCAGCGAGCAGCCGCCTTTTCCCTCCTAGGGAAGGGTGTGGCCCTGGGGCGGGACTCAAGGCTGGGGTTCCTGAGATCAGGTGGCCCCAGCCACTGGAACACAGCTGCTGGCTCACCCCTGGTCCTCAGGTGGGCGGCAGCCACAGTTTAGGCGCTGAGGGGCACTGCCAAGGCGGGTGACTCAGTGACCACGAATCCAGGCCGTGGCTCAGCAAGGAGTCCCTGGGTCACGGCCCCAGGAAGGAAGTGGGGCTAGGCCCAGATTCCACGGGCCCTGGTCACCCCTACACCCCACAAGGCCCAGGTGGGGGCAGAGCTCCTCCCTGCCCCTGCCTCACCACCGAGGCCAGGGTGCTGGGGCATTAGTTTTCTAAATAATAAATAACGATCGATACACCTTTGTGGATAAATCTCACTGATCCCAGAATTGGCCACGAGGGCTTCAGTCTGAAGTGACCTTTCTCGCTGGGGGTGGTGGCACACACCTGTAATCCCAGCACTAGGGAGGCTGAGGCAGGAGGATCGTTGAGAGTTCAAGGCCAGCCTGGGCTACAAAGTGAGCTCAAGACCAGCCTGAACTGCATAGTGAGACCTTGTCTCAAAAAGACAAAACAAAACAAATCAAGTGACCTTTTTCAGGAAGATGGGTTAAGAGAACGCTCCTAGCCCTGAGCCCCATCCTTGGCCAAAGCCCTCCCGGGCTCGCCGTGGAGTGACAACGGGGCAAGCACCGAGCTGGACCTGACACCCGTGGGCTCCCCTGCGCTACCGCGACCAGAAGTCCTCCCATCCTGGGCAACACAAGGAAGGCCGGACCAAGTCGGACGTGGCCGCAACCCAGAGGACCGGGGTTGGCCTGAGTGGGGATGAGTGGAACGATCTGGATACACGTTCCTAAGGCGCGTGTGGGGCAAAGCGGGTCTTCAGACCACGGACCTCGGAAAGCAATCAGAACTTACTGCGCAGGCGCCGGAAGCACCGCCCGGGCCTTGCAAACCCCGCCCCTCGCTGCGAGGCGGAGCCCGGCGCAAGCGCGAGCGAGGCTGGGGCCTTCGGTGGAAACTTTATTCCCCAGAAGCCTCCGCGCCGGGTTTCAGGGTTTCCCAAAGACCCGGTTCGGACAACCAGATACTTGGTTAGGACGCCGGATAGGCGGGCAGGGACTTCTCCCTGGGGCGGGGCCTTAGGCAGGGGGCGGGGCCTAAGGCCAGGTACCTCCCAGGGCGCGTGCCGGCCAGTTTAGGGTTAGGGTTAAAGAGCAGGGGTCCGGTTAGGCTCCTGGCCTCCTTTGGCCGCCTTTACTCCGAGGCGCTCCTGCTCAGGAGCATCCTTCTCACCGGCCCTCGCTGAATCAGTCCAGACACCGCCTGGGCTCCCACGGTGCCACCCAGCCGGGCTGTTTTGCTCCCCAGGAACACAGTGCAGAGGACAGAGGGGCTGCGGCCTGAAGGGGCGCTGGACTGTCCAGATTCGTGCAAGGTTCAGTGCAGGCAGAGGGGTGGTCACGTGGCACGGTGGCCTGGCAGGGCAGGGGATGGCACTCTGGAGGCCCCCAGCCTACAGTCACCAGCTTGACCTCGGTCCTCCCCACCCGAGGGTTCCCGTAGGCGCGGGTGTAGCTGGGGCAGAGAGGTCAGGAGCAGGAAGCAGAAAAAAATGGGGCTCCCTACGGGTGGGTCAGGTTAGCACACGGCATGACGTGACGGGACGCGCGTGCCTTCCCGACGGGATGGCAGGGCCGCCCTGCCCAAGCAGGTGACTGTCGTCGGCGAGCGGCCCTCCGCCCAGCACGTGTCCCGCCGGACACCCCAGCCTTCCGCGTGCCCGCGCTCCACCATTCCGCTCCCGCCCCCACCCCCCGCCTTGTCGGGGTCCTCAGCCTCCGCCCATGCCCTGGCACCCCTGGACCTCCCGCGCTCATCCCTCTGAGCTGGTCGGTCCTGGGCACAGCGGGGAGCAGAGGACTCGGGCACCCACAGAGCCCCTGGGGGGTAGCAGAGACCCTGCTTCCGAGCACGCGCAAGGCAGACGCAGCGGGGGACACTCGCAGATCCCCCTCCCACGTGGGCATTGTGGGGTCTCGAAATGTGAGCAGGAGAAAGGGTTTCCCTTGCAGAATTCTGTGGTGCAGGACCCCTGCTGATCACAATCCAGAGTCAACCAGGCGGGGCGCAGGGGACAGGGACGCTGCGGGGGTCCCGAGCCTCTCTACCCAGAGGGAGACCCGGCGGCGGGAGCCGGGCCCTGAGCGGACCCAGGGGCGGTGAGAGACTGGCCCCGCCCCGCGGACCCCGAGCGGGTCCCCAG